TGGATAACCCATATATTGTCCGAATGATAGGCATATGTGAAGCTGAGGCCTGGATGTTAGTAATGGAAATGGCTGAACTTGGGCCACTGAACAGATTTTTGCAAAAAAATAGGTATGTAAGCCTTGATTCTACTTCATAGGGCACAGGTCCTTTCTTTCTTTTTTTTTTTTTCTTTAAGGACAAATGTAAATTGACATGTCATTAATGTAATAACTGATTGTTGCTCTCCACTGGAAATTATTATCTTGTGCATGTCTCCTAAGTGTCAAATATTTCTGCCCGAAGAGTGTATTTTGAATTAATGAAAGAATTTTCACATACCTTTCAGTTGCTCATTTACTGATGTGATCACACAGAATCTTGCCCAGGACAGGTAGCCTGGGCTGCCTTTTCTAATTGAATCCTAGCTAAATGTAAGTGGATCAGATTCACAGCTTGATATGGGCAATTTCATAGTAAAGATTTGTATTTGAGCTCCATGAAAAGTCATAAGAATGAACTACTGACCTCCATAAAATTCAATTATGATTTTCAGACATGTCACAGAGAAGAACATAACAGAGCTGGTGCACCAGGTTTCCATGGGGATGAAATACCTGGAGGAGAATAACTTTGTTCATAGGGATCTGGCTGCAAGGAATGTGCTATTAGTCACCCAACATTATGCCAAAATTAGTGATTTTGGACTTTCCAAAGCTCTCAGTGCTGACGAAAATTATTATAAGGTAAGTTTTTAAGAAGACATGAAAGCTTTATAGTAACATAGCTTAATAAGGCTACTTTCAGTGGAAGTGCAATCGGTTTTGAAAGTTGAAAATTAAAAATATTATGTATTATCCATTATTTTATAGCCTGATATTAGGTTACCAATTTTCAAAATAGGTGATTAACATTAAGAGATGTGTAGGGAGGAAAAAGCTAATCCCTTCTTTTGCTTGCCTACTTTCATTTACTTTTGGTAAACTTGTCATTAGAAGGTTGAAAATCATGGTGGAAATGAGATACTTCCTTATATAACAGGGGGAAAAAGTATTTGTTGCAGACCAGTTCTCACCATGTCCAAGGAAAATACAGGCTAACACACTGTATTATTGACTAATAGAGCTGAATTAGGGAAGGTTTTTAAAAGAATACCATTGGTAAATAATAAATTAACCTAAGCAGGACTTATTTAGTTTGGTTGAAATTCACAGGACATCCATGCAGCTAAAGGGATAAAATAATTGCGACATTTAAAAGGTGGAAGACAAAGACTGCAGTCATGTCTGCACCTTTTTTTTTTTTTTCCTAATACATCACTCTTGCAGTCCAAATTATTTGTTCCTTCTGCTTTTTTCCTTTCATCAGCTGTTGAAAAACTAATAAGCCAGGCCATGAAACACTGCAGAGGAGGAGCAAGGACATGCTCCCTTCTGATGACCTTCTTATGCCAGAAAAGGCGTCTGAAATCCCTGCCACTAGCCCACCCAGAGATGCTTGTCCATCTCAGCCTCAGAGGCCTGAGAATTAGTATCAAAGGTCTGTGCTCTTTACAGCTCCACAGGATGAAGTGGTGTCCTATCACTAGATCTAGCACTGTGCTAGGATAGACTGATGCTTGAGTGGTTGTAACGCAGTGCTGTCGCATAATTTAATCAAGCTGTGGTTTGCCACAAGGCAGTCACTTTGCTTTGAAAGAGAGCATCAGCTTCAGCTATCCGGATATATATCTCTTACCCTCTGTGGAGGGTCTAAATTTAAAAAAATAATAATTTTAAAGAGCACCTTTAAATTAAATGCCACTTAAAAATTACTCCACGTCATTTAGCTAAGCTTTGGTTTACTGCAGATCTCCTTTCAGCACATCATTTTGAAAGTGGAACAATTTTGTAACACTTCTGAAGAGGCTGTCACCCATTCTCTCTAAAGCTAACTACATCAGAAGTGTAATGGTGCTTAGCACAAATGTGTGCAGATCTAAGTTATCTTGGCTTGTATGCATTCTGCTGGTGTTCACTACTTATCATTGTCTCTAGCCTGCTTTTTTCCCTTTCTGTTATGACATGTTTTAGGCACAAAGTCATGGAAAATGGCCAGTCAAGTGGTATGCTCCGGAATGCATGAATTTCTACAAATTTTCCAGCAAAAGCGATGTCTGGAGCTTTGGGGTTTTAATGTGGGAAGCTTTCTCTTATGGGCAAAAACCATATAAGGTGAGTGATTTTACCTGGCCTTTTTTTTTTTTTTTTTGTTTCCCTGTAAAAATTCAGAGCAAATTTGAAACAATGCCTTTTCCTACCTTAAAAAGAGGTGTTTCAACACCAAATGAGTCAAAGGTTAGCTCAAAAATCAGTTACAGGCCTCTATTTGATTTATACTGGCATGTATATTGTAATCATTTGCAACTTGGATGACTGACTGTTCTGCTCACCCTGTTCCAGGGAATGAAAGGTGGTGAAGTTGCACAGATGATTGAAAGGGGAGAACGAATGGAACGTCCTGAAGTCTGTCCAACAGAAGTCTACAGTCTAATGAAATTGTGCTGGACATACAAGTGAGTGTGATGTGATGGTCTTTATATAGAAGTATACCTTAATCTACATGGTTAATAGTCAGAAAGGGGATGAGAGGATTATTTCACCATGCATCTTTTCAGCCTTTTCTCATTACAACCATCCTCCAAACTAAGGAGTCAGTTGTCCTTTCAGGTAAAAATTATTTGAAGTATAGAGTGTACTAAAAGAAGCTGATTTAGCACAACAGACTTTGCTGCAACATTTATGTACAAAATATAGGGTATCATGAACCAAGTAATTCCACAAAAAGCTCAGTCTAATATATTTTGAAAAGAAAGTTTGAAATTAAGCTGATAATTTTGTTTCATTTGGGATTGTATTTTGTTTAATCTTCACTTCCAAGTCTTTATCTTTAGTGAAATTTCAAAGTCATATTGCCAAAATTTTTATTCCATTCTTCAATAGTTAGCTGCTTTGACCTGTTTTCTCTCATTTCTGTACCTACTCAGATTGCCTCCCACACTGGCCTCCAATCAGTGAGAGGCAAAACATCTTTTCCTTTTCACATCATACCTGATATGTCAGAACCTTTTTTTCTGGTTGATTACAATTCAGAAGTCAGAATTATGAAATACAAAAAAAAAAAAAAAAAAAAAAAAACCTACCTGATTTTTTAAATAGTACATTGCAAAAATTTATTAAAACAGTTTTATGATTTTCCATTTTAAACTATTTTGTTGAAGTTACCTTCAGCTCTAGGAAGGCTCCAGAAAGTACCCAAAGTGACTGTAATGTCACTTACTATTCCAGTTCATCATCTCAAGAAAAGATCTACATTTAAGGAGCTGTGGTACTTCACTTTTAGGTACCCTGCTTCTTTGTTGGTTTTATTACACCTTGTACTCTAGAAAGAATGTGCAGCCATAAAATAACTCCTGTCTTCTTGCTGGACTCAAAGAAAACTATAACAGTTCTATGTGTTATGGAACAGTGAAATGGATCAGGTTTTGTTAAGATTAACAAATGTATCATAAAGCAGGCTCATTTTTATTTTTTGTACTCAAATATCTTTATTATTAGAAAGAAGAAAAATTCTAAAAAAAAAAAAAAAAAAAAGAAAATTCAAGTCAGGCAGAGTAACTGTCTCAATATGTAATTTAATACTGTAGGGGCTTGTCAGTTTAATTGTGTTCTCCAAATAAAGAAAAAGGTGCAGACATAGAAGAAAGACGATACAGTCATAGGGTGTGAGCAGGCTCCTCTCAGTGGTTCTAAGCCTCTCTGTGTGATTGTAATACCAATTGTAAGGCAGATATTACACCACAGATGTTCTTTTCTCTAGATTATTACCAAGGAAAATGAAGTAGAAAATTACATTGAGATGATTTGCCATTTCTTTCTTCTAGCACTTTCACCGACTACAGAGTAACAGGCATGATGGCAAATCCACTCACTGGATGCTCTGTAGCGACATTTGCCGCTTGGCATTAATTCTTTAGCCTCATTTTAATAGCCTTAAAATACTGTGAGCGGCTTCAAATGAGCTATCACCAAGGTAGAGTCCCAGGCATTGCAAGGCCCGTGCACCTTTAGAGCTTCCTTCTTCCCGTGCAGTGACACTTGTCGTCTTTCCACAGTGTCGATGACCGGCCAGGATTTGTCGCGGTGGAGCTGAGGCTGCGCAACTACTACTACGACATTTCCCACTAACAGGCCTGAGGAACAGCAGCTTCCTTGCCTCCAGCCAGCACCCTCTGAGAAGCAGTCCAATTTCCAAAACCAAGGGACTTCGACTTCTGTACTTCCATCTTCACCCTGCCTTGTGTCTCTCAGGTCGCCTTTTCTCTCATTCTGCACAATATCCAGCCTGGAAAGAGAGTGTTGAAAGCGTAGAAGACTCAAAGTGAGCAGCAAGGCTGTCAGAGAGCAGATGCTTACACTTTTGCTTACACATCCGATTTCACTTTATTTACAGCTTTATTTGCATTGCATTTGCAGTCCTCTAAAACCCATTTAATGACTTTGAACTTCCTTCCTCTCCTGTATTGGAATCCGAATTGGAATTTAGATGTTCCTATTAATATTCTTTAGCCTCAAATGTATTGAGTTTTTGCAGCCTTCCCCCACCTCAAGAAAGAATAGAGTAAACAATTCTCATTGTGAAGGAAATTCACTGTGAAAGCGTGTCAGTAGTTTTGACTGACAGTGTGTTTGATTTTATCACCAAGCCCCTTTAAAATCAAATCATATTCTTCTTAGTAGTAAAGAAGGCAGAGGAGAACTGAAAGTTTTGAGTTTCTAATATCATCACCTCCTTTAAATGTGCTTCTCTTGTTCCTCATCTCATGTGTGGAGCCCAGCTGTTCCTCAGGGAGTTACACTTCTTTCCTGGTGAAACCTGGGAACTCAGGGGTTTGCTCTCATCTTGGAAAAAAAATAAACCAGCGCCTAAGACAAAGAGTCTGGATTTTAATATAAACTCCACCACTGCATTTCTGGAAGTATACCTGCGATGGAGCAGCAGCTAGCTTTCTCTGTGCTGGTTCATCCTGCTCCAGACATACCTTTTCCATGTATCTATTTGGGTATACCAAAGCTCCTTGTTTTGTGTTCTGAGCAGCAGCTGTTTCTGTTTTGTTTGGTTTTTTCTTTTTTTTAATCTTTATTGAAAAGTCTCTATGAGAATTTCACCACACCTTATCACCTCTAAAGTTAAATTTCACCTCCAGCACAAATACTTTAAAATGGGCACACGGACCTCAAGATTACTTTTTGTCTGCTCCAAAATCTTAGTATTTGTCCTGCTATCAGTTCCTGTGGCCATCTCAGGAAAGGGTATTTGTCTTATCACTCTTCTGTAATGTAGGGTGCATCCCCATAAAATTGGAAGTTTAGTAATAGTAATTACAAATAATGTAATCAACTCCTGATTCTGTTTTTACCCTTATGCTTTGCTTGTCCAATCTCATTTTAAATATTATCAATATCAAAATTTCAATCACTTATTACTCACAAGCAGCTACTCTATTGTCATTTACATATATCTCAGGAGTCTACATACATTGCATCTGTTAGATAAAGAGACTTTAGGAGAATATAAAGAATAAGATTTAGAGTTAGATATATTTATTGCATATGTCAGGTTAGAGTGTATGTGTTTATTTTTCGTGTGAACAGGACATTCTTAGAGATGCAGGGATTTTTTTTTCTCTAGCAAAGAAGTTGTGTGAGCAATTAAAGTGAGAAAGTGCAAAATAATTTAGTAACAGATAGGACTACAAACAAATGTAGGATTTGCTGATTTTTTTCCTTTTTACAAAGGTTGTGGTCTATTTGTTAAATAATACCTGGTTACTTTTGGTAGTTCAGTCTTGGGTGTCCAGTGCAAGATGCTTCAGAAACCACATCCTACTGAAAAAGATTGACTGTTATAGACCATGTTTCAAATGTGACCAAATGTGACTGATATTGAAGATGATTTATTTTTTGTTTTCTTTTTAAGAAACATTTTGCTACAAGACCAGCTTGAGTAGAAGTTAACCATAGTTACACATAGGTATTTTGTCACTTTAGTTGTGTTGCAGAGAAACTGTTATTTCTACATGTACGATTAGTACATTTATGGGGATATTAGTTACAAAAAAATTGCACAAATCGCACGAATCTCTATTAACCAACAAGTGACAGTACTCAATTTCCCTGAATGAGAGATATACCTCTCTTTATATCTCACTTTCTTTAAAAACAATGTCTGTTACAACAAAACTGGAGGATTATTTCATCTCCTCTCTTCTGAGTGAATGTCAACATCACTTTCCATTGCTACTTGATTATTCTTCACTATTACATAATAAAAGTTTACAATGAGAATACAAAGAATTGTGAAATAAATGGATTAGGTTTTAAAATTTAAATTAAAGACATTTTTACAAAGTATGTTGTTGTTAAAAAGAATCCTTCAATATTTATACACTTTCTAAAGAAAAAAAAAAAGGCTGATTCTGTGCAGAGTGTGTGTGTATGTGCTGAGAAGACTGAGATTTTCCTATTGACTGTGAAAGGTGTGTGATGGGACAGATAAGCCCAGTGAAGCCTGGGCTGAAGACAGAACTAGCAGGAAACTCCCAAAATATGCGTGTTGTTATTACAACTCTTTTCAAGATGATGTTTTACCACAATACTGCGCCGGATCTGGAAGGTTAGAGGAGTCAGTGCAGTGCATCAGCTAACCAAGAACTTCTGCCTTACAGGTGTCAGCTGTGTGGGATTTAAGTCATGTTATACGACAATGGAGCCTCCCTCCTATGTGCAGATGATTGTTCTAGGTGTTCTGAAATATAAAAACAGTCTTTCATTTAGCTTTCGCTGCATGCCCAAGTTCTCAGGAAAGCGGAGCCTGGGTGGGTCTGAATGTGAATTCGAATAATTAACAACAAAGGCAGAAAGGCTGGCAGCTCTTCAAGCAGCTTCTTACCTGTAGGGTGAATCAGCCAGTGACTGGCTTACACTGGTCTGCTGTGATTGTTTTCCTGTGTAGCAAATCTGTCCTAATTTTTGCACCTTTGTATTTGTGGGACTGCATCATCAACTGATATGAAGGGGCTGTTGTCTATTGACTGTCTGGATTTAGTTGCCTTTGTTTTCAGGTTGGCTTGTATCAGAAATGCCACTTGGTGTTGTAGGCCCACAAGTAATTGTCATGGCAGAGTTAAGGGTTAGAAAACTGCAGCATGTAGTAAGGTGCTGGTGGAGAAGAAGGAGCAGGTGATAAAACGCTAAGCAGGCTGTTCACTCAAGGAAAACAGTGCAATTACACCTTTGGTTAAGACTCAAATTTACAAAATCATGGAGTTTTTAGGAGCACAGGAGGCCATGCTCCTTTTCGCATAAAGACCAGTTCAGGTAGTGCCTGAACACGGTCAGAGCCACACACTTGTCTGGCTGTTTCTGGCACCCTGCCCTCTGCCCCCGCTGTCCCTGGGCCTGTGTGTTACTGAGGAACTTGTTCTTCTCTCTGCTCCTTGCTGTGCAGCAATGTTGCCTGTGAGGACAAATCATCAATTATTTATGTTGTGAGTGGTTAGCTGTGGATGATTAATGAAGACTTCTGAGACTCTGTGTCCCCTTGTCTTTTAAGTGGTACCAGCAGACAGAGACTGCACGCACAAGGATACAGACTGTGTCCTAGACGTGCATAGAAGGGAGTGAGGGTGGCATCTGGGTTGAATAATACAGGGAAACGTTAAGCCAGCAATTTTGATTACTAGCTCCAAGTTTAGTGAGAACAGAAAGACTGCAAGTCATGCAGAAGAAAAAAAAAAAGAAGAGAGAGAGAGAGAAAAAAGCACCATCTGATTATAGACAGCAAAAAAAATCCCAGAAACAAACTTGAAGCAATCCCAGACTCACATGGAAAAGAGCCACTTCAAGATTCAATATTACCATTCCCTAGAGGTGTGTCCCCATGCCACACAGCATGGTGCAGTGTGAGGCAGTGGCACAGCCACACTGGGACCCAGTTCTCTGCAGGGATGGATTACTGGCCCAGTGGAAGTAAGAAGGGATTGTAGGGCTGGTGGGCACGAGTCAACAGCTGAGTAACCCCTGCTGTAACTATGCCTCTACTGGGGCCACCAGGTAACCTGTGAAGGCTTGCAAATGGAAAAGGAGGGGAGGAAGGAGGATGGAGCATGAAACAAATATCAGAGGGGCAAAGTGTGTAGGCAGAGATATTGTCCCCTATTCATAGTGATGGAAAAATGAGACAGGCCTATGGAATGACCATCTTCCTTCAGAGCTGTAGTACATGATGGATTACTGTGAAACAGTCAGAGTGATGTAACGTAAATTCAGCTGAGATCAACAGTCCTCCAGCTACTCAGAGTTCTCTGAAGCAAGGCTAGCAGTATGCATCTATCTCCAAATAGATATTTTTCCTTTTCAGTCATGTATGTGTTAATTGAGACGAAGGCCCACTGGGTTCCTTGGCATATAACTAACGCTGCACAGTGTTTGACCACTGTGCTTCCCCGAGGCAGCGGAGATGTGCACATTTCTTGATAACCAGAGAGGGAACAAGAGGCAGCTGGGGAAAGCATTAACTGCTGTCCATTAAAATTCGTGGCTTTGAATGTAAATAGCACCTGAGTGACCAGTCTGATATAAGTGTGCACAGATCATTAACTTGCCTTGTCTGTCCACCACCTCAAATGACTTAAACTGACAAGGGTAAGAAGCTGTTAGGTCCAGGCCTTGTTTAACTCCTGTCAAACTGCTGGTGGAGGAGTCCCACAGCCATGCACCCACAGCTACAGATGCCCACCTAGCACACTCCACATGACACTGGTTTGGTAGGTTAGGGGCCAGGCTCTCCATGTCTCTGTCATGTTAGAAATGCAACATACAACAGACAAATAAACAAACAAAACAAAAGAAAAATTTCAAAGAACAGTTTGATGACACTGTCCTGTTGCATTGCCACCAGTTAGTGGCTGCACCAGCATCAACATCTGTTCTTTCTCCTTCCTGCTTTGATGAAGTGGAATTGTGGCAGATTCAGCAACAAGAGTACCAAGAGCATAATTTCATGACCAAGCAGCAGGTCAAGTGGCAGAAAACTTGTGTAGATGTCTCTTGCAAAGCTTGAAGGCTTTTCTTTAAAAGCATTACACGCATATGCACATAAATCTGTGTGCAGTTTATTGTCATTCTTTCCTACTTGAGTTCAATAGTGACCTGTCCTCAGTTTTTAGTGCAAAATCACTGAAGCTGTACCTTCATGTCTTGGTCTAATTTATGTACAGATTTCATCAA